CATAGCACTTAGACCAGTATTGGAGAAAAGTAGATTGGCAAATATACCCAGATAACTCCTATAACATCAATAAACAAACTTAAAGAGACAGAGTGTCTCAAGTAATTTTGCACAAGTGGCCATAGAAGGACAGGGAGGAACACATCAAGACAGTCTTGGTTCAAGAAGAGAACAAAGGTTTCTTGGCAGATATTCCTGGCTGCTGCAGATGGGGAACTCCTTTGAACCTGGAGATGAGGCTGTCAGCCTGAAATGTAGACAGCTACTCTGTAACTAATTTCAAAAAACTCATGCCCTCTTGCTTTCATTTTTTTTTTTTTCCTAGGAAACTTGCCCCTCTAAGGGTACAAAAGGCTATCTTTAAAACCTATTTTTTTCTACACCTTGGCCCCAAGGAGCAATTATACTGCAGTAAAATATAGCCAATGGCCAAACCATTAGCCAAATATAGTTGGGACTAAGAGGAACGGGGAGCCTGAAAAGTGGTTTTGATTAATGCCAGTATTCAAGAGTGTTTTCATATGTAAGGAAGGAAGTGGAGAGCTGCTTTAGCTGCTGGTAATATCTCTGAAGGAGCAGACCATGGTTATTAAATACTGGTGTCCATCAGGAGTGTTAACACATTTCTATACTTGTTGCATTTCCTTTGTGGGTCACCTAGGGCTCTGCTCTGCCTCATCCTCACCTCAGGATCCAGGCTGAGGGGCACCCACCGTCTGGAGCATTGCTGATTGCTATGGGTAGGAAAAGAGAAAGTGGCAAATTGCATGCTAAGTCTTGATGCTTTTGCCCAGAAGTAACACATTTACAGGCTATAGAAGGTTGAATAGCATCCTCCCAAAATTCACGTCCACTCTCAGAATTTTAGGATGTGAACTTATTTGGAAATAGGGTCTTTGCCGATGGATTTAGTTAAAGATCTGGAGATGATATCATACTGAATTTAGGACGGGCCCTAAATTCAATGACAGGTGTCCTTACCAAGAAAAAGAGAGGACAAAGAGACAGAGAAGTGGGCCATGTAAAGACAGAGGCAGAGATTGGAGTGTTGCAGCTCAAGTCAAGGAACTCCAAAGATTGCCAGTATCTTTCCAAAGCTGAGAAAGACAAGGAAGTATTCTCCTCAAAGAAATAATTCAGAGGGAGTGTGGCTCTGTTGACATCTCAATTTCAGACTCTAGCCTTCAGAACTACGAGAAAATAAATTTCTCTTGTTTTAAGCCCCCTTGTTTATGGTAATTTGTTAGGGCAATTAGGAAACTAACACACTGGGCAAAGCAAGTTACATTATCACACCCAATTTCAAGAGGATGGGGAGGGGGAATTCAGCTGTGTTGAACAGTCCCTCTCAGATCCACTACCCACCCTTCCAGACTCTGAGCCCGGAAAGCTCAACTTCAAGATCTGCATAAACAGACTCCTTTCCTTCCGGCTTCTGATTGAGATTTGCCCAAAGCGGATGTTCACAGGGTGGGAGAGTGAAGTCACAGTATTTATTTGGCCACCTTCCTTTCTGCCAGGCTGGTAGTAGCTGTGTTACTTTACCGAAGGTCATACCTCCCCAGGAAGCCCTCCTTCAGTTCCTTCTTTCTTTCAGGGTTCTCATAACCATTCTTCCCTTTGCACTTCCAGAACCAGAGACCTAGGGGTGACGGCTGTTGTTAGCTAACAACACTTCTCCATTCCTTATTGGTTTCCCCTTAACCCTGCCCACAACCTTGTAAATGGTTCCTTTATTAATTTCTTCTCAGTAACTGTATTTGAATGTGCCATCTGTTTTCTGCTGAGAGTGGATATACATATCATACAACTAGAAGGAGAAATGGAAATTTGTTGGACATGCTAGGGATGAACTCACAGTATTGAGACGCCACCCCAGTGAAGCAATGGAAGGAACTGCAGTGAGAGCGACAGATCACACAATTGCTTTGCTTCCACTATTCCTTTGCTCTAGCAATAGAAAAAGTGAGTTCAGAAGCAAGATTGAAACTCCAGCTGCACCATTTTATTACTTCTGATATAAACCTCTTTGAATCTCAGTTTGTTCACATGCACAATGGGTATAGCAATGCTTCCCTTATTGAGCTGCTTAGAGATTCAGGGAGATAAATGCTAGTTTGGAGATGTTTACTACCTGCAACTACACACAATGACCCAAAGCAGGCCCCTAGATGCTACCCCCCATCAAGATGGCAGCCCACAAGGAAATGGAGACCTCAGTCCTATAGACAGTGAATTCTGCCAACTATCTGAATGAACCTGAAATTGGATTCTCCCTTAGAGCCTTCAGAAGGGAAAGCAGCCCAGCCAATACCTTGATTTTGGCCCCATGGGATCAGAAGCAGAGAAACCACTAGATTTCTGACCTAGGGAGCTGTGAGATAACAAATGGGTGTGGTTTTAAGCCTCTAAATATGTGGTAATTTGTTCTGGCAGCAATAGAAATAAACACATTAGCATAGTAAGGTCTTAGTGCATAATATAAACCCACTACATGTATGTTATCTGTCCTCAAAGAGGAGAGTTAGGGAAGGGAAAAAGAGGCCTTCCCAGGACCCCAAACATTAAGTGCTCTCAAAGAAATAAGCCTGCTGCGATTTTACAACTAACCTAGAAGCTGGCTTTCTCTAGTGTTTTCCAGCTGATATGAGTATAGGCCCCCTACCTGAGTCGTCTCGAGCAACAGCAGCAGCAGGAGGAGGAAATGCTGTGCTTCTCTCTGACGTTGGCAAAACAAGCCTATGCATATCAGACACCCAGGCAAAACAAGCCTATGCACATCAGACACCCAGAAGAAAATTTATGCTGGATCAGACTGTCATCTCTCTGGTAGGATATCCTCTACCTGAAACCCTCAGCCCTACCATCCTCCTACCCAAAGGCAGTTTTTGTTTCTCATACTTGCCCCTAATTGAAGTACAGTTAGGAAGAAGATCATTTCCTGCTGCTGGAGCCTTCCTTCTGTTTCCCTAAGCCAAATCCATCTCTCTAATCGCACGTCAATATCTTCCAGCTGCCTAACCATCTAAACCCAGTCCCTTGCTCATTGAGCACAGCCCCACATTGCTACATCGCTTATTTGGTAAACTATGCTTTAATAAATGGGTCATGTTGAAATAACACCCTAGGACACTGGGCCCTGAGCCAGGTGTCACAGATGAGGGTCTGTTGGCGTTCTATCACCAACAGGTGTGCAGAGGAACACAAGGATTAAGGGCTATCCACTAGGCTCAGACTTGTGCCTCTAGCTTGAATCGAAATTGTAGACACTTTGCCAATTCACAGTGCTTCTTCAAGGCTTCAGATCAGCAATTGGCAAACCTCTAAATAATAATTTTTGCTGTCCTTCTAGGAGACTTATTTCACTATAAGGTTGTAATAAAAAGAGCTAATATTGATTGTGTGCTTACATGCACCAAGTGCTGCTCTATGTAGCTGTAAAAGTGTTAACATTAAATTCTCAAGGCAATTTAAAGAGTTAATTCTATTCTTTTTATCATCTAGCTTTACAATGAGGAAACTAAGCCTCAGAAAGGTTAAGTAACTTGTTCAAGGTGAACCAGTCAGTAGTACATGGCTAAAGCTGTAACTCAAACCTAGATTAGTGTTTCTGTATACTACATACCACATTGATTTTCTTGGTTGATGCAACACACACAGAGCTTTTAGGTCTTGACCAGGAACTGTGCCAGAACCTGGAAATACAAATACACCCAGGAACAATTTCGTTTTTCACCTACCTAACATGATAGGAGACAGATATGTACAAAGAAATATATAGATACACTTTATTAGCAGCATACGCAAAGTGTAATGGAAAGGGTAATTAGATGTTACAGAGTGAAGAAAAAGTAGGACAGGCAGACAGACATAAACAAGACACACAGAGAGAAGTGTCACATATAACAGTGGGCAAAGTATTCATTATCCCTCTTTCTTTTTGTTTCCTCATTGGTAAAATGTAGATCATAACACCCGTTCCAAGGCCGTTACTGTTATAGAGATTAATTTCGGTAATAAATCAAACGTGTATTACCTTTGGTCAAAACATTCTAATACACATTAATCTCTCACCTTCCATCCAAGAAACCCCTTATGTAAAGATAAGATGAGCTCAAAATCCAAGTAAAAATGCTTGGAAATGTTAGAAGGGAAACACAAATGTAAGGTAGTTAGACACTGGAGAAGGTAGCATAAGATTATCTCAGAAGATAATCAAACCTAGGCAACTTGCTTTGGATTCTCTCTCCTGGAACAGACCTCCTCTTGCCTCACCATCAAAACACGTCCCAGTTAGATTCCAAAGAACAGAGGTAGTCACCCAGGGGGCCTCTTATTTACCGGACTTAAACCTAATCCATTTTCTGCACAAAGCTACATAAAGTATATAGCCTCAGCAGCTCCCAGTATAAAACAGAGCATCACTCCAACGCTACCTCTGAAGGCTGGGGACAGTCCTTTCCGGTCACTTTTCAGCTTTAGGGGGTTCGGTTGGTCTCAGGGACAGCTGACAGCCTTATTTAGCCAACCAGCTGCTCTGTGATACACGATGTCCCGGATGCTCAAAGTCTGTGGATGATTCTTTTGTAACCACATAAGCAGCAATTGGAGGAGGATCCACCAGTGTTTTTGGTAGCCCCATGGTGCCAAAGCTGGATTTCAAATCATTACCATAATTACTAACCATTGTTTTAGTGCGATATGCTTTTCTTTCCCTTTTTAATCATTAAAAAAACAATCAAATTTCACTGGAGCAATGCTCGCCTCAAGTTACATAAACCTATTTATTAAACCCTTTGTTTGCCCAGTTCAACGGCAAGTCTTAGAGGAGGAAATACTTAAAATACTCGCTTTGATTTGAAAGAATTGGTAATGTTGTGGGGAAAAACTATACACAAAAAAAAAAGTATAAGGAAAAGTTACATAGTGTATATGATGTAATACACTGACTGCTACAGAGTGTCTGACAGTGGCAATGTTATTTCCCGGATTTTGTTACCATGGGGCTGGAATCCAATGGAGGAGATATCATGGGTAGAGGATTTGGAGAAGTGGCACATTGTGTGAAATTGCTTTCTTTTTCAGCAGGTAAGAGGGAAACGACCAAAGGTGCACACAGGTTATGCAGCCCATTAGCCACCAGAGCCTGACTTTGTGACAGGACAGTTCATCATTTAGGAGAAATGCTACAGATAGCTTTTAAAGGCGCTTTTGCTTCAGTTTGAATGATGTGACCTGTGTGAATCAGCGAGATATTGAAAGGCCTTGTTCATATTATGGCTTGAAGCCACATTTTAAAGCCACTTTTCAAGAATGCTAAAGCCCAACGGCTCAGAGGGTTGCACATGGCGCTTTCACAAACCAGGCTGAACGACGTTGCTGAAGGGAAGTTCTGAATATGTTGGCTAACGTTTATGATCTCCCTGATCTCCCTCTGGGGTTTCAGCGTTAACCATATCTCAAGATGTTTACAACCTCAGATGGAACTTGAGTAACCCAGTTCAACAGATGAAAACACTATAGAACAAGGCCAGAAAGAGAAAAGAGAACCACAACGAAAGCAAAAGCAGATAGTCCTGGAGCCTCCATGGACGAGTGGAAACTCCCTGCGGACAGACATCTGGCCACCGCCCTGCCCTAGGCGTGGCGCCCCAGATCTCGCCGACCGCGTGGGGAGCACACAGAGACGCCCTCAGGCGCTGCGCCGGCGGGCGGCGGAGTTTAGGGGGAAATGTGCAGGGGTGAGAGGCGAGGAAGCATCCCGGTCGACGCGCGCGTCAGACCTTGGACCGGAGGAGAGGAGACAGATCAGGGGCTCAGGCGGGGCCGAGGCGCAGAAGTCGGGGTGAACAGCACCTGGCGGAGTTCCTGAAGCGCGAGAGTGGGAGTGAAAGCAGAAGAGGACAATGGAGAGAGGACAGTGGGTGCGAAAAGCAGGAAGGAAACCGCGGAGAGAGGCGAATGCAGTGAGGTCCCGCGCGCGCGTGAGAACACCTGCTTGCCTCCTGTGGCGGGTAGGGGATGGGATGTGCGGCGGAGTGTGCCCCGCAAGCCCGGCCCGCGCCACTACCCTGGAGCGGGTTCAGAGTCTCGGCAGAGCCGGCGGGGACGTGGACAGGAGCCCGCAAGTGGGAGGACCCGCGTCAGCAGCCACCGCGGCGGGGCGGGGCGAGAGCGAGTGCGCGTGCGCGGCTCGTGCGGGCGGAGGAGCGGGCGTGGAGCGGCGAGGGCGCGCGTGCGCGCGGCTCAGCAGTCTGGGCGGTGGGTCCTGCTTGTGACCGGTGGTGGTTGCTCCAGACGCGGGCGGCGGCGGCGGCGGCGGCGACGGCGACGACGACGACAACGACCCCGCGGCGGGCGCGGGG